TAGCCCTGCTGAGAGGAGGACTTCAGGTCGGGCTTGCCCCAGGGACTAAAGGCCAGTCCCTGTGGGTGATGGAAGGCAGAGCAGGGGGACTCCCCACTCCCAGGGAGGCACAGCCAAGTTCTCAGCCCACTTCAGACCCCACTGGGCCTGTCAGCTTTGTCTCGGCTTTCCAGCCCCTCCCCCACACTTCTTAGCCTGGTGAACACACAGCTAGGCCCTCTGAGCCTTTGCAGTCCTTGCTGCCCACCCAGCACTACCCTGGGACTTTGGCCACACCAAGCAGACACTTGCCAGCCACGTGGAATGTGGCTTCACCCCAGTGACTTTGCACCTGCTCTTCCCCCCGCCTCCATCCTCAGGGCCCGTCAGCACCGGCCCCTCAGTGAGGTCTTCCCGATGTCTCAAGGTCAGGACTTCTTGGCAAGGCCACAGTGCAGCCTCACTAGGACTGACCATCCTGGGGTAGCAGGGCTTTGAGAATTCTAGAGCCACCCCACCCGCATCTGACAGCCTCTGGCCTGTCCACACGACCCTGGGATCAGCACCACATACACAGCGGAGGGCCCCAGGAGGCCACATCCCACTTCCTGGCCTAGGCCCACCCACATCTGCCCAACAGACTGAGTCAAGGATACCCACAGAGCTGTGAGAAGCGGTGTGAGCCTTGAGCCCCTGGGGACAGGGCTGGGGTGGGCCTAGGGCCTAATGGGGAGGCCACTGCCAAGGCCGGAAGGACCTGGGAGCCAGGCTCAGGGCAGGCCGGGCCAGGCCCAGAGCCAAGGGCAGATGCTGCCCAGCCACCCCCAGACTTGGCCTCAGAATTCTTCACACTGGCCCGGACCCACCCTAAACTGCCTGGTCACAAGGGCTCCCCTGCCATGCTGGCTGCCACTAGCAGACAGGTGTGGGTGGGGATCAGCCTGGGTCAGCTGGGGTGCTGGGAAGGTCCAGAGGCAGGGGCCCCACCTGGGGCTCGGGTAAGCTTGGAGAGGGCTCCTGTGTGCTGCGGCAGAGCGTGCACCTGGTCCAGCCTCCAGCTGGGGGTGCTGGGGAGGGGCTCGCAGGGTGGCGGTCGGTGGTGAAGGTGGAGATGGAGTCCAAGCACAAGCTGAGGGAAAGGCAGTGCACATGGGTGGGCCTCACCATGTTCCCCTGGGACCTTAGCACCCTGACAGGTTGCAAGGCAGGGGTGCAGGGGCCTGGGACTTGATTGCTCTCTTCACTCACCCCTTCCTGCAGTCAGTGCACACCTGGGCAGGACTCAGGTAAGACTCAGGGCGAGGGGTCAGGAACAAGAACAAAGCCCTGGACTGGGCCCCACCTTTCCTGTCATGTTGTGCCATATCTAGATGGGATCCTGATGCCCCTCCTGGGACTCAGGGGCATTGGAACAAGACAATGGACACAAGGCCTCGGGACACCACACTTGCCAGGGTCCTCTACTGCCCTGGTCCCAAGGGACCCCTCCCGAGTCCATAGCTATAGCCATTCCCATTGAAGCTAACAGGTTGAGCTGTTGTCATGGAAACACATTCAGCCAATCTCATGGGGACACATGGGGAAGGAGGGGGTTTTGCCCCTGAGGACCCCTGGAGGTTTGGGGAATGCAGTCCAGCTGGTGCAGGGACAGGGGCATGGCCTTCACCTACTGTGAGCTAGTCAGGGCAGCCCTGGCCTGGGAGGGTTTGACCTTGGTCAGCACGACCTTAACCCGCAATCCAGGCTTTTGAAGGTTTGCTGGGCCCACAGCCCAGGAGAGGGTGTGTGTGGAGGGCAGGAACATGTGGCCATCCGGGCTCCCACAGCACAGACCCTGGCTCTCTGCGCAGTCCTGTGTGCCTGTCCCCACCCCCACACCCCACAAGGTGAATATTATGCTGGATCCAGCTTGCAGAGGCCTGTCCCAGACCTGGGTTTTGGGGTGTCACAGAGCGCTTAACCTTTTCTGAATCAAGGATGTTTGTGAGAATTTGATGAAACTCACACTGCCCCTGCCAGAAAAGCACTCAGGGCAAAGGCCACCTGAGCCCCACTCGAATTACAAGTATGTGAATGATCCGCTGAGGCCATGCTGAGCTCCTGCTTGCCAGCAGCCTTGGGCACTGGGGGAGCAAAGCCAATGCAGGCTGGGACTCAGTCTCCAACCAGGCCCACCACTGCTGGCATGGAGACGAAGGCCCAGAGCACCCCCACCCCCACCCATCCCTGCTCCAACCCTAGGAATCCAATACATGAACCCCACAGGTCCTGGCAAGAGTGCCCCTTGACCTGTGGCCTTAGTTGGAATGGAAAAGCTCAGCAAGGGGTGCCCAAGAGCCAAGATCAATCACGGGACATCCTGCGTGCACACTGCAGGTACGACCCAGGGAACAGGCCGAGAGGCTGCAAAGGGATCAGTCTGATTTAGCGCAGGGCTGACCACGGGAACTGCAGTGTGGCTTCTGGGAAGGCTGGCCTGTCCAGAACACGGCCCAACTGGCTGGAGCTGGGGCCTTGGTGGGGACACCTGGGTTACATCATGCAGGACCGCCACAGCCCCTGCTCTCTCATTGGCAGCTTTTGGTAAAAATTTTTTTAATTAAAAACTCTTCACAAAGTTGGGACATTGTGTGGGGAAACACTTGTCTTTAGAGCATCAAGACACGTGGGGTCCAGAGGTGCTCCCAAAGGAGTTTGGGACTGGTGACAGGGTTTCCCAGCTGTAAACAGACACTTCAGTGTCACTCCCTCCAGGGCAGGCCCCAACCCTCCATAGCCACTTGATGAGCCATGGGGTCTTCGGGCCCTCCCATGGCTGTGCCCCTACAGCTGCATCCCCATGGACAAGCCCAGATGTCCCCACTGACAGCACCCCTCAGGGAAGCCTGGTGCCCCTCACCCAGGACCAAGTCAGGGGAACCCTCCTGGACACCCCAAAAAGACCTGATATGGTCTCAAAGCTCAGTACTTCCAGGTAAGGGTCAGGTCAAGGCACCCCCAAATCACAGAGTAGAAGAAGCCTCAGGGTACCTTGCCCAGCCTCTCACTGGGAGCCACATCCCTACCTGGCATCAAGTATGGGTCAGCCAAGGAAGGCACAGCCAGACCACAGGCCACGCTGCTCACTCTCTATGTGACAGAGACAGAGCAGTACTGACTGAAGCTCCCAATTCAAGGCTTTCCCCACAGACGCTGACACCAGCACAGCCTTCTGGAGCTGGTGGGGATACATCCCTGTCACCCCCAAAGCCAGGCCACCGCCTCCCCGCCTGCTCTGGAGAACACATGCACGCAGGCAGGGACATGCGACGGGGAGGGGGCAAGCACCTCTTGCTCTATCGCGGACACCTTCAGCCATGCTGGGATCTCACCCAGAGGCGAGAAAAGCACAACAAAACCCTGGCTCCCAACTGAGCTGGGACCACCACTCACCGCAGCCATATCCTGGGGCTCTGGGGCAGGGAGTCAGGGGGTCAGAGGCTGCAGGGAGAGCCCCAGTCCTCCAAGCAGGGAAGCACACACACAGTCTGGCTCAGACTTTACTTGCACTGCCCCCACCAAGTACAGTGGCTCTGCCTCGCTGGGCCTTTGCCTGGGTGGGTAGAGAGCTCCCTCAGGCCTCTGGGAGTCATCAGGGCCTCCACAAAGCCCACTCCACCCAGGAGCACACACAGGAAGGGGGTACCCTCGCCACCACGCCAGGCTCTGTGCCCACGGAGCTGAAGGGGGCTTAGCCTGGCTGTCAGGAATGGGTCACTGTGTGGCCACTTCCCACTGGCTCTTCTGCACCACCGCTGGCTCAGACGGCGCCTGCTGCTGAAGCTGCTTGATCCTCCATGTAGACCTTGAACAGAGGAACAGGGTCCTACAGGGACAAGACAGGTCAGTGAAGAACCCTGAGAAAGGTGGGAATCCAGCTGCTGCTGTCCAAACAGAGGGATGAGGCCTGAGAGGACCAGGCCCCCCAGGCTTGACCACAGACCAAACTCTTTGCCACCCCCAGACCCCAGCCCAGAGGGCAGTGCCCTGTCCATGAGACAGGGGCCACCCTCTCATGGGGACACAGGGACCAGGCGCCTGCCCCTGGAGTTCCAGCCTTGGGGTACTGTGGTGGCAGAAAAACAAGCAGAAGAAACATGGATTGCGGCTGCTATGTCATAGGTGGGTTCCCTGTCCCAGAAGCTACCACAGACCCCAGACTCTTCTAGGGACCCTGGACAGCCAAATAAACCAATGGTGTAAAAATCCAGCTCTTTTCACCAAGTCTTTCTGTTCATGAACTTATGAAGCTGGCACAGAGGATCAGGACCCTAATGGGAGAGAATGTGTCACCTGGAGCCCACTGGCGCTGTGGCCCCTCCCTTCCATCTGCAGGGCTTGGCGCTGGGCCCACCCCTGAGAGGGCAGGGCAGCGGGGGCTCGCACATGCTCACCTTCTCCTCCAGAAGCCGCTGCTTCTCCACAGCCTCGTCCAGTGTCAGGCCAACCCACTCAGCCTCTGCCTCTGGGATGACAAACTCCTGGGCAGGCAGAGACGGAGGGGTGCAGTGAGGTGGGGGCAGGGGTGGGGGCGCTGGGGGACCCATGCAGAACAGGAAGCACAGGCCAAAGCCCTCACCTGGTACTTGTCATAGATGGCTGCCCTCCTCTCGGGGTCATCCGGGTGCAGCTCTGGGTCCCATCGGGCAAGCCGCAGCAGCATACCTCACTTCAGGTCCATCCCGAACTTGGGGCACAGGTCTTCCTTTGGGGTCTGGTAGGAAGCTACGCATGGGACCAGGAATCGCCAGTAGGGCTCCGCTCCCCTGCCCGTCCCCAGCATTGGGTGGGCCTTAGGCCAGCCTGGCAGGGCAATGGGCCAGGTGGGCAGCCCCAGCCCCCAGGCCAGAACAGAAGACAGCCTAAGCATAGGGGAGGAGACAGCTGCTCTCACTGTGTGACCCTCCACCCCAGACGTCAATGTGCCCACTGAGCCTGCCCACAAGGACCCACTGTGTGCTGTCTGGCATGCCCCACTTGCCTTGAGGATGTAGAAGTCAAACCCATAGGCCTCATCAATGAGATTCAGGGTCCTCATGGTCACAGTCACACTGAAGGTTGCATCCAGGATTTCACTGTGGAGCTCACGCTGAAACAGCTGTGGCTTCCACACCTTCTTCACCCTCTTGGACAGCTGCAGAGAGACAGACTGTGTGCTTACAGGCCCAAGGGCTCGGGGCACCCTCCTGAGGCCTGGGACATGGAGCTGGGTGGACGAGCCCCCACCTGTGGACTTGACTGCCCACCAAGAGGTCAGCTGCTCCTCAGCCAGCCTAGTACCCGCAGATCCTCCCAGTAGCTGGTGTGTGTTCCAGACATACCACACCATCGTCCACAGGTCATCACATCCTATACTAGGGACCTAGGAGCCAAAGGCAAAGGGAGACACCAGCCTCTCCCAGAGACTGGGCAGCCCCCTCCAGGGTTCCCACCAGAGACAGCCCGGAGGGTTAGGATTAGGATTAAGATTAGGGTTAGGGTTAGGATTAGGATTAGGGTTACTGGTGTCAGGGGTAGTTTCAGGAGGCCTGGCCTGGGTCAGTCTCTCAGCCATCCTACGTGCAGTGGGGAAGTGGCAGTGCCTGCCTTGGGTTATGAGAAGCAGGCAAGGCAAACTGTGGTGCTCAAGGCTGACAGGTGACCACAGACCTCACCTCTCCTACCTCCCCTCAATACACAGGCCTCCTCCCCATCCTTACACTTGATCTGGGCAACCACCCCAGGGCCTCAGCACTCACTGTTTCCCATATGGACCACCTGTCTCAGAGTGCCCAGCTGGGTTCCACAGGGAGCAGTACTTGCCCAAACTATAACTCTACTTATCAGCACGTTCCCCAGACTGTCCTGTCCTGTCACTCTGGTGCCCATCAGGGAGACCAGAGCAGCAAACTCCAGATCACCCACCTTGTCGTTGTTGGTGTATCTGTGGCCCAGGATCCAGCCCTCGCTGCCCCACAGCCCCAGCTGGGACTCCGGGGGATGGTAAATGGGAATGGGCACGTCCTCCACGCGCTCCCACTGCCCGTTCTTGGGACTGATCTTGAACTTGGCCCCGTGCGGCCTGTAGTGCACGGGCGTGGGCGTCCGCGCCTCCTCCAGGGAGCGTAGGTAGTGGCTGGGCAGACGGGAGCACAAGCCCTCGCGCAGCAGGAGCTGCTTCCACTAGAGGACCGGGACCTTGTGCAGGGGCATCGCGGCGCGCCTGGAGAGAGGCAGGGGCGGGGGCCGCCGTCACGCCGCAGCCCAGCCAGACCCGACCCAGTCCTCAAACCCCGTGCAACCAGACCCCGCTCCCCGGCTTGGCCCTGGCTGGAAGCCAGGTACCCCGCTCGATTCGGCCGGGCGCAGAGCCGCGGAGCCAACCTTCCAAGATCTGTGCAGCGCTGGAACTGGAGACCCCACGCTCTACCCCCGCTGACTGGCTGCAACACCCGTCCGTCTAACCCTCGTCTCGCCCTGTTTTCTTCCATCTTTAGGGACCGTGGAAAACGCCCTACAGACACGGCGGCACCGCCAAGCACCGTCTGCAAGTGCGGCGGCGTCTCCTGCGAGCTGCAACCTGGGCGGGGCGGGGAGAGGCGGGGCGGGATCCCCTCCGGGCAGGATCCCCCCTCACTCCCACCCACCTCCTCCCGGAGGCACAGACAGCAAGATAACCCATTTATTTGCCTTGAAATATCAATGTAGAATATTCACCAATCACAGCGAAATCAGAGCCAGTGGAGGCCACAACCGGACAGGACAGAGAAGGGATGCCCCTAGACCAGAAGGTGGGAGGGCTGCAAGCGGAACCTTCCCCCTCAGCTTCCCATGGCCCCGCCCAGCACCCATCCCACAGGCAGCGGCCCTGCCTTGGCGCCTTAGGGAGAGCGGGGCACGGCTCCTGGGGCAGTTTCATCTCTTTTACCCTGCTTCCCCCACAGAGGAAAGAGAGAGGCTGGGCCAGGTCCGCAGGAGCCTGCTCCCCAAATGAAGGTTGGACCAGTGCAGGGCAGCGGCCGTCCCCTCCTCTCCTGGTGGCAGCTGAAGAGTATGCTCCCCATACAAGGGCCCTGGGTCCCAGAGTGGGTGCAGACACAAGGTTAGGGAAAGGGGGGGCCTGTGGTGCCGGCACCCCCAGAGCCAGGGCAGCTGGGCAGCCCTCTCCACAGGAAGCTCTTCTTGGGGGCCTGGAACTCCGAAGGGAGGAGAGGGGCGGGGCTGGACCAGAAGCCAGCTGCTCCTAGTCTCACGGCATCTGGCCTCTGCGTACCCCAGGGCCCATTAGGGGCCTGGTGATTGTAGTCACCTCTCCCTACAGCAACCGCATCAGCGTGGGGACATCCCCAAGCCTGAGGCAGGCTGGCATTCAGGGGCACACAGTGGTCGGAGCCAGGGATGCAGGGAGGGCACAGTCCCCAGCCTTAGCAATGGGGACCTGTGGGAGGTGGGCTAAGGCCTCCTCTGTCCCTCTGGGTCAATCACAGCCTTGGCAGGATCTTTCCCTACCTCTCCAACCATCCCCTGGTCAGAACACACAGCCTTCCCCACATGGTAACTGTGTTCTCCAGGCAGCCAGGCCCAGGTCCAGGGGCCGCTGCAAACACCAGCTAGGACCCGCAGGGGGACCGCAACAGCCAGGCAGTGGGCACAGGGGAGCTGGGGCATGCGGTTCTCTCCTCAGGAGGAGAAAGCAAACAGGTGTGTAGGGCAATTTTATTCAGCTGGAAATTGATCTGCACAGGGTCCCTCTCCCTCAGTCCTGCCCCTGGTTGGAGAGGTCATCCTGAGAGCTGCCATGACCCTGTCACGCCACCGCGGTACAGCTCCTCCTGGTGGTTCCTGCAGATCTGATAGTGGCAGGGGAGCTCCTGCGAACAGGCCCAGGGCTTGGTGTGCGCATCCCTCGGCGGCAGCAGGAAGGTGGCACTCCCTGCCAGGAGCATGTGCCAGATGCTGTGGGTGTAGTAGTAGTTGTCACTGGTGGTCATAGAGGTATAGATGGCAATGGCCACAACAGCCATGCTGATGCCAGGCAGGAGGCAGAAGGCCCAGCGCTGCCAGGAGGTGGGGTAGCAGTGGCGCCGGTGTCCACAGAGGTATACCTGGAGAAAACCGCCACATGAGAATGGTGGGGGGGTTGGGCAGGGGTGGCTACAACTCCTAGCCTGCCCAGGCCCGAGCAGGGGACCACAGGTGTGGGCTGCTTGGAGGGGACTCACTGGCACAAAGACCTGAGGGGTCCTCAGGCATGAGGCACGCTGGGCCCCAAGGGGGCCACCTGTGGCATCAGCAGGTGTGCAGGACTCAGGCCCAGGGTGAGAGGCGTGGCCAGAGTGAGGGGCTGGGCTCTGTTCTCCCACAGAGTGGAGAGACCATGCCCCAACCCCAGTCACCAGGGAAGGGGTGTGGGCCAGGAGCATGAGGTTGCCCCAGCTCCTTACCCACATGGTGGCCATGACTGCAAAGGCAAACAAACAAGGCCCCATCATGTTCCAGGCGCCCCTGCGGTCCAGCTGCAAGGACATGGCAAACACCAGCATGCCCAGAAGAAACAGAACCTGGGCAAGACACAGGGACAGCCACAGGGTCGCAGGAGCCCAGGTTCATCAGTGAAGCCCCAAGGTCCAACAGGAGCAGGTGGCCTGGTCATGCAGGTCATCTTGCTGTCCCCACTGCCCCCAGCATTTTCTGCCCCCCACCTCAGAACTGCTGGCACATGTTGTCCTGCTCCGTTGACTGGGAAGAAGGTGGGCCTCCCCCAGCTCCTGCACGACTGGGAGCCATAGCGTCTTGATCCATCCACAAGTGAGTTTCTGAGGCAAAACTTGGCCCAGCAGGGCACCAGGCATGCATCTTCAGTAGCCAGGCCTGGATTGGCAGAAAAGTCCCCACAGTGCCCCTGGCACCAGGGATTCCAGGAGCGTAACTGACAGCCTCTCAGGGACTTCTGGCCTCGGGTGAGGCCTTCTCACCAAATGGGGCCCCAGGAGAGACAGGCTGGGGGCCTTACTTAACCCTGCCCACCACCTTCCTGTCCTGGCACCTCCAACCTGCCAGCACAGTGCCTTGATATCTGAAAGCAGCTCCTTCAAGTGGGCATCCTCGAACAGCAGCACGCCCTCCTTCTGGTCTGTCCCACGACGCGCTGCACGCGAGCTCCTCTGCTCTGCCAGAGCCCAGTCCCGGGGATTGGGAGCACACTCACGTATTTCAGGGCTGCCTTCAGCCACGCCATGCAGAGGATGATGACCCAGATGGATACTCCAGAGCCCAAGAAGTCCAAGCACTGCAGCGTGTCATAGCTGAGGATGCACAGCACCACCTCCCCAGGCTAGTCGCAGGCGTGGCAGAACTGCAAGGCAGGGAGGTGGGTGTGGCGCAAATCTCCCCACCCTCCCCACAGCAGAGGAGAGGCCCACCATGGAGAAGAACATAGTGCTGGCATAGACGGAAGCCTCCACCGGGAGGGAGCGGTGCGTGGACACAGCGACGGGAGCCAGGGGCATGAGGCTGCTGGGGTGAGCAGGGGCGCGGCTGGCCTTTGCTGGCCTCCTGTCTGGGCTGTGCTCCTGTCTGTGCAGCTCCACCCACGCCAGCCTGTGGCCAATGTTACACCAAGGGGGCTGAGGCTGGGCCCTTTGAACCTCAGGGCCTGCTCCTCACCCAGTGCCCTGCAGAGAAGCCCTTCTCTCAGTAACAGGCTGGGACAGGTCGGGACAGGTGTGGAACATGTGTGGGTAGACGTAGGCCAGAGTGGGCAGATGCAGACAGGTATAGGGCAGGTGTGGGCAGGTGTAGACAGGTATAGGGAAGGTGTGAGCAGATGTGGGCAGTTATAAGACAGGTATGGGACATGTGTGGGCAGATGAGAGGAGCTATGGGCAGCCATGGGCATGTATGGACAGGTGAAGTAGGTGAGGGCAGGTATGGGGCACATGTGGGCAGGTGATGGCAGGTGTGGGCAGCAGGTATAGACAGGTATGGAGAAGGTGTGGGCACACAGGCAGCTGTGGGACAGGTGTGGGCAGAGAAGGCCAAGGTCAAGAGGTGAAGTCATCTCAGTCACCTCTGTGCTTGCCTAGAACAGAGAGGAGTGGGGAGGGGACATCTGCCCTTGCTGCAGAAGCAGTTCCCAGCCTTGGCAGAGTCCTCGGAGGCTGGGAAGCCACAGGCAGGAACTGGGGCCTGGCCTTCACCTGGCTTGCAGCTGCAGCCTACATACAGGTAGCTGTGTCTGCGCAGCAGGAGGCACTGGCTATAGGGCCCGCAGTCACTCAGGCAGGGCACCAAGTACGAGGCGGTTTCCACCAGGACCAGAGCCTGCTCACTCTCCCTGCGAGAAAGGACCCTGGGAAGGCCGCTGCGGTCTGCTGGCCCATCCCCCGCCAGGTCCCTGCCAGGCTCTTGTACACATGAACCCAGAACTGAGGCTCCCGGGCTCTAAGCCCTGGAGGACAGCGGCCATGAGATCTGCCGAGGCCATGATGCCCTTTTCCCCGTGCTCTGTCCCAAGTCCTGGTCTGCTCAGGGCTGTGTCCTAGGCTAGTCCTCCCTCCTGTGTTCTGGCAGGAGGGGTGGTCAGGCGAGGAAGGGGATCTCTCCCGATTCCCAGAGGGCAAGTGACCCTGCAGGAAGATGGGTCACTCCCAGACTCGAAGCGGGTGGCCTCGCCCCTGGTCCTGAAGGCAATGTTTCAGCCTTCTGCTGCCTGTCCCCCACTGGCAGCCCTAAATGTCCTCCCTCCAGCCCCAGATTTGCTCACTCAGGACCCTCAGGGCACATGAGCTGTAGGGAGAGGTACCAGCTGTCTGTCTCTGGGTAGGGGATGATGAGGGTGGCCTTGTGAGATGAGGGGCTCAGAGACAGGCGGTAGTCCTGGAAGAAGGCTGCAGGAGTGGGAAGGCCTGGCCTGGTCAGGGCAGCCAGGGGCTAGTGGGTGGCGGGCCCAGTGCTGCGCACCATACCTGTGGTGCAGTTGAGCCAGGTGGTGAGGCTGAGGAAGGGGCCGGCGGCGTTCACGCAGACCTCTACCAGGGTGCTGTTGGCAAGTGCGGTCTGGCAGGGGCCGCGCAGGGTCAGCCCGAGCCCAGGTCGGCCACCAGGCGGGCAGGACCAACATCGCCCGAAGCTCCCACTCAGTCTGGCATGCAGTGCCCTTCTCTGTGGCGTGCACCGGCCCAGGGTTCCTGGTCTACAGACACACAGCCGCCAGCAGCACCCGCAGGCACGGCCCTGGGCCCCTGCTACCATGGGGAGTAGGCCTCCCCTTCCTCAGACAGAGCCCCTTTCCGGGTCCAAGCTGGCTGGGGACCCTTTGTTTCCTGAAGGGCCCCCTGACCCCACTTCCATGCCAAAACTGGCGGGAAGGCCTGCGCCCCAGCTGAGCCAGGTCACAGGGAGCTACCTCATTGGCCTGCAGGGAGAGGGTGAGGGAGCCCCCACCGTCCATGCCTGTGTCGAGGTACAGCCGCATCACTGAGGGCATGCCCGACTGTACCCACACGGAGACACTGTCCAGGGGCCGGAACCGCGCAGACACCACATCCACGTCTTCCCGCACGACGGGATACCTCGTTTGGAAGAAGGAGCCACTGCCCAGCCCGTGGCTCCTGCCTGGGTCTTGGTGGACGAGGCTCAGGGGCAGCAGGCCAGCGGAGGCGTTGCGGCACTGGCTCTGGCTGCTCTGAAGGTGCCGCGACGTCATGGTCTTTGGCCTGCAGGCTGACGGGAGCACCAAGGCTCAGCCGGAGGGAGGCGTGGGGGTCAAGTGCAGGGGGCAAGACATCCCGGCCTGCCCTCCCTGCACAACCCACCTGTGAGGGCAGCCACGATGCTGAATGCCACGGACACCCGGGCCCCCCCAGGCTCTTGGCTGTCACTTGGATCCACCTGCCCCAGGGCAGCGAGGGTAGCAGCAGGTGGCAGGTCCCAGTGGGGCCGGGACAGGCCAGTACCTTCTGGAAGTTGCTGAGCAGGGTGGCTGAGCCCATGGTGAGGTGCACGGGGCAGCCCAGGCTCCCGTTGGACACACAGCCCTTTAGGTCCAGACGCAACTCCTGGGTGTACTCAGGGATGAAGGTTCTGTGGCCAAGGGTATGGCCTGGTTTAGCTTCTGCAGCTTCCACCAACCTTCCCGCGTGGTTTGCACTCAGGGTGGTGGCCAAAGAGGCCCCACTGCCCAGCACAACCCTGAGGCCCAGGCCCCTGGCTTTCCTACCAGCCCAGGGACAACAAACACCAGGCCCACCCACTCCACCAAGCCAGACGCTGGGCCTCCCCCAAGGGCTCCCACTCACTTGAGGCAGCTGGGTCGGGAGAGGAGGGTCTGCAGAAGGGGCACATCTGGCTCCAGAATGGAGACCTCCACCACCCTCACGACCAGCATGTCCGGCTGGCAGACGTAGGCACAGGTGGGAGCAAAGCCCTAGGGAAAGAATGAGTGGTGGGGGAAAAGAATGTACACGTGTGGGGGAGTTGGGCAGAGAGCCCAGGGGGGCGGCTGGCGTGGGCAGGACTGGGCAGGGCAGCCTAGAGCAAGGCCTGCGCTGAGGACGTAACTGCCAAGGACAGACATTCCTGCACCGAGGGGTCCTGCCCCTTCTACGTGGGCGGCACCCCGCCTCACCTTCACCTCAATCTTGTGGGATGAAGGGGGCAGGTGGGCAGCCACAAACCCGTCCCCGGGTGCAGGGTGGGAGATGGTCACAGAGGCGTTGCTCTCGGCATCTTGACGAGGAAGGGCGGCTGCACAGAGGTATTGTGGGGGAAGCTGGTGCCCAGGGGGCTGATGACCGGAGGGGCGGCGTAGCGGAATACGTGGAGCAGGGAGAGCAGGGCAGGCATCAGATGTGGGCCTTGGGTCGGGGAGGGTGGGTGGGTGGTGGGCACCTACATGGTGATTGCCACGTTGGCACTTGGGGCTGCCTCCCAGTGACACATGGAACAGGCAGTGCAGCAGCAAGGTATCTGGGGGCATGCAGAATTGGAAGAGCCTGGCGCTGCCAAAGCAGCTGTAGAAAGACAGCTTCTGCGGGGACTGCGGGAACTGCTCGGACACCAGCCTCACATCTGCGGGGAGAAAGTGCTGTCAGCCAGGCGTGCTGCCCTGGCCCCAGAGAGAAAGCGCAAGGAGCCATGCTGGGTGGGTCTGCAGCCCTGGGACATCGGCCAGGCCGCTGCCGCCTCCAGCCCCTGGCAGTTGTGTCTGGCCTGGCAGGGCCCGGGACTCAAGTTTTCCCTGGGGACTCACATTCCTGCTCAATTTCTGCACACGAAACACTGCTTCCGTCACCTTTCCAAGTCCCTCTACCCCCACTTCCATCTCGTCACAGGCTCACACCCCATGCCCACTCCCTGCCACCTCTGTCCAGATTGCCCACAGCCCACCTCGGGCCTTATCATAGGTGACCCCAAATGCCTCAGACCTTACAGCAGAGGCCCGTCCTTGGTGGGACCAGCCTCTCCGGCACGCTACTCAGGGTCTCCCTCACACTGCAGCCCTGAGGCGCTCAGGGCCCAGAGATGGAGGCTGACGGACACGGGAGGTGATGGGGAGCCCCACCCCTCCTCACCTCTGCTCTGGGTGCCGGACACCAAGACAGCCCCTCCTCCTCGGAGGCTCCCAGCTGAGGGTTGTGTTCCATGCTCTTGGCCCCCCTGAGAGGCCAGGGGCCTCAGATCTAGAGGCTGACCACCTGCTCAGGCCCACGACAGCTTGGGGCACAGCTGGACTGGAGCCTAAGCCCTCTCGCCCAGGGAGGTGGCAGGCAGAGATCCCAGGGGGAGGGACCTCAGGCTGGAGGGCAGGCCACCCATGCTCTGGTGGGCACGTGCAGGGGCCCAGGGTGGACAAACTGCCCGTGGCCCCAGCGTGGGGCTCCTGCGTGAACGGGTCCTTCAGTGCCTCTCTGGCCCCCCAGCCCTACACCTCCCAAAGCTGTCACTCTGCTCACCCCCCATCACGGCAGCCTTTCCAACCAGCTCTGGGGTCTTCACAGAGGCCTGAGGCCCCATCCTGGATTAGACCCCTCCTGGGAGTGTCCACGAACCAGGGCACAACCTCCCCTGGCACACGTGCCCAAGCCCCACAGTGTAATCACCTGCCACATGGGTGGGTGAGGGTGCCCACTGAACAGGTATACTCTGAGTGCTCTCTGTGCGCCCCCCCCCCGCCACACCAGGTGGCTGACTAGGCCCAGGGACTGGCTGTGAGATGCTTGGGCTGCATGGAGGGAGCCCAGCCCCTGTGCCAGCTCAGCCTCGTGCCCATGACTGTGGATACCAATTACCCTCTCTGCGTCCCAGCCTCCTGATGAGTTATCCAAGGTGGTGACCCTCCCTCCAAGGTTAATGGGTGTTAAAGTGCTTCCAGAAGAAATGCACGGAACACAGCAGGCTATGGCCTCACTTTCCTCCAAGCTGGGTGCCTCTCTGCCCACAGGAAGACTGGAAGCTCATACCACGCCATCGCTAAGGCTGGTGCCCCTCCACGTGAGCAGGTAAGGGAGCCAGGAGAATAGCTGGCTCTCCTGCCAACCTCCTGAACCTCCCATGGATGCACGCTGAGAAAAGACAACCCACTCCCAAAGCCAGTCTGAGCTCCACTAGAGCCAGGAATGGGGGTGCTGGGCAGCATTCCAGGTGTCCGCTGGCTACCAGGTCCGACCCACCAGGTGTGGCCTCAGTGCTGAACTAAGGCTGCTGCAGCCCCTGGGATAACATGATGACAGAGACCAAAAAACCTAAAAAATTGCTGAGTCAGGGCTGCCTCCCCTATTCCCTCTTCAGAAGCAGGGGGCCTTAGGGAAACAGTCAGCCAGCTGGCACCCAGCCCCCTGACCTGAGAGGACAAGGCCTTCTGACGTCCCACCTGAGCCCCCGCTCTGGCAGCTTTCTCCCCACTCTGCCCCTCTCCCAGAACAGCTGGGCGCCCTGGAATGCCACCGCCTAATCCTTCATCCCGGCTGGCCTGGCATCCGGAGCCCCTCTTGAGTCCCCAAGGACCCCCGTGGGCCTCTCCACCTCCAAGGAAGGGCGCGTGATGGCCGTGACCGACGTGAACGCGCTGAGTAGAGAAGGGAGGGCACGTGCCGAGGGTCCCGACGGCGGAACCCGGCCCTGGGCGCAGAGGAGGGGGCGCCGGCGTCCGCTACTCCCCGGCCGCCTCGACGCGAGCTCTCACGAGGTCCGCCCTGCGCCCCAGCCCGGCGCCGGTGAGCGCGCAGGTGTCCCCGGGAGGGCGCCCGGGCCGCGCTCACCGCTCTCGCCGCTGTCGCCTGCGGCGGGCGGGGGCCACGCGAGCAGCAGCGGCGGCCCCGGCCCGGGTCCCGGCGCGGCCCTTGGCTCCGCGCTCGGCCTGGCGCTACCCGCCCCGCGCCCCGGGCACTCCCGCCGCGAGGCGCCGCCCCGCTGGAGCCGGGCCGGAGGGACCGCGCGCCCCGGCGGGGTCGGAGGCGGACGCGAGCGGTGCTGCCCGGGGCCCGGGGAGGAGATCGGCCGGGGGGAGGCCGCGGACGGACGTGCGGCCGCGCGGTAGGGGGCGGTCGGCAGGACGCGGGGGCCGGGGGACCGAGGCAGGCCGGCGGGGCGGGGGTCGGCAGGCGCCGGAGGTCCGAGGGGGCGGAACGCGCGCAGAGCTTCCCACCTGCGTCCCGGAGGCGCCGGGGGTTCGCGGGACGCGAGGGTCTGCGGGATCTCTGGATGGTGGGTCTGGAGTGCGTGACGGGGCGCTGTCAGCGCCCGGCGGGTTCTGGCGGAAACATGCCCGCGCCGCCCCCAGTGCTGGACCCTCCGGCCCGGCGTCCCGGTCCTTCATTCAACCACAAAAACGGGACGAGTGTGTGTAGAGAACACACTTAGGGAAAGATGAAAAGGCTCCTCCTGTACAAGTGGAAATCTGGCACGCTCACCCTTTACACCGGGACAGATCGCAAACAGATAGATTGCAAGCCTTACACTTGAGGAGTTAAGTGTGAAATGCAAACGGTCAAGGGACTACAAGTAAACGTGGGGGAACTTTTTCAAAGTCTTGGGAAAGAGAAGGCAATTCTAAATACGATCCAAAACCCGGAAGGCTTTCAAGGTGTGGGGGGAGAGACACTGTGTATTTGCCTCGGTGCTTGTCCCCGCCGCGATGGAATTAAAGGGCAAAGACACGGTAGTGAAGCAGAATAAATGTTTTATTTAAAGTTACTGAGAAAGAACCGCAGGCGACCTCCGAGAGAGAGAGAGGAGCGCCCTGAAAGGTTGAGGGTTCCCCTTTCAATGAAGGATTTTTCAGGAATGGGACAAAGGGCTAGGGTGTGTGCTTGTTAAGTGGTCCCAAGTATCCTCGATGAGACATTAAGTTTCTTATCAGTCCTCTAGGTAATTCTGCAAAATTAGTTTATCAATCAAGACTGTGTCTGCCCTTCCTCCAAGGTGGGCAGAGTTACCTGTTTGCTAAAGAGTATGTCAAGAATCTTTCTTCCTAAACCTCCTGGGTTTTTTTCAAAATGCAATTTTGGCTTTAAGGTGGGATCTTGGTCTTTATTATGCTGTTTATAGGTGGGCCTTTTAGCAGGCTTGTGTAAATCTTACAATGAGCTAATTGACACAATGAAGACATGGGCTTGTACTCAGATACTTCTCTGTATCTGGGGAATATCCAAACATTCAAGGCCAAGTTGCTCCTTGACACTTTGAGCTTTAACTGATTAACTCATTAACTCTGAGTCTGTCTGGATTTCTAGTTTTAACTGGTTAACTGAGTCCTTTCTAGGGGACTTTACTGACCTTGTTCTCTTTCCACCCTGCTCATATCCATTTTCCTACCTAACAGAGGCAAGACTGAGAAATTCAGTTACGTGAAAGTCAAAGCTTTCTGCAGAGCAAAACTTCCTAAGCAAAGTCAAAAAACAAGCCATAAGCCGGGGAGGACATGCTTGCAACTTGTATAACCAAGGTCCAATCTTAATAAGACCTGTAAGTCCGGGGAGAGGAAATCCCGGTGCAAAATACCTCTAAAAACCGAAATCAGTCAAAGGGAGAAATGAAGTTTAAAATCCGTTGCTCACAAACTTCAGTCTGGGGTCGTTTCTGTTTCCTGCTCCAGAAGACTCCAAAAACCAGCCCTCCTCTCACTTCTCGGGTACAGATAAGCCCTCCTTGCCCAGGTAATTACCCACTGATATGGAGATGAACTTCTCTCCACCCCTGAGGAATGATACGAAATGTACTAAAGCCATAATTCTTTTCACCTCTGAACGCCTATTGATATGCACATGTTCTAAAGCCAGGCAAGATATTCTGGAAATGTTACAGTTTTACCCACAAACCTATAATAAAGAGCTCCTACAAATCAATAAGAAAATATCCACTCTCCAAATAGACCCGAGGAGATTCCAGGAAAGGATATGCAAACAAACAGGAACTGGCTCTACTCTTCCTCAGAGAAAGGCAGATTGAAAAGCACCCAGGGGCCTTTTTGGTTTTCACCTAACAAATGCTGCAAGAATCAAGTTTGATCACACAGGTGAGACTGTGGGCCAACAGACATTCCTATATTTAGTGGGCAGTGGATGAATGTAGCCTCCCACAAACGTCTGGACTCAGGTACAGAAATGGCAAGAGCACATAGCTTCGCTTTAGTGTCCCATAGCTGTGCATTCTCCCTGCAGACTTGCCCAAGTGTACAGTCATACCGAGTACAGCACACACCCACATACTGGTCATGGGGCACTCTAACCACGGACACCCACACTGAGATTCGAACTCTGCAGTGCAGCTGTAACAGGAAGCTCGGTGTACTGCTTGGGAATGATCTGCCAGGTGTAGCTTTAACTGAAGAAAGGAGAGGGCAGGACAGTTGTGTTTAAAAAGCTACCACTTTGGTAGAGAATCAAAAGCAAATTTATTTGCACCCATTTAATGCCTATCCAGCATTAGGCTATGCTGACTGACCCTGGGGGTGGGAACCAGTTGGCTGAGGATGGCAAGGAGGGGTCTATAACTGTTAGCACCTTCAGAACTTTGTGCTCCTGGGAAAAGGGGGTGAGGGTTTACAGTTTGGCAGGGAGGAGAAGCTGACCCAGTGTGTGCAAGGCCACTGAAGGTGGAAGGTGGAGGCCTACAGTAGAGAAAGGAAGCCCAAGGTGTGAAACCCTGAGGGACACCCTCTGCTCCTTTGGACTCTAGGCTGGGCCCTCACCCTGGCAGCAGGGCTGGGCCGTGGTTCTAGGGACAGAGGTCAGTTTTGTACTTGAGTGCCCTGTGCTGACTTAGAGCCATGCTGGGGACAGCAGTTGTAGTCAGCACTGGGGACTGTACCATCCAACACCCACCTCCTGCCCCAGTGTGAGGTTCCTGTGCCCCAAGCTGACCACTGGGTAGGAAGGGCCGCGGGTCCTGTCCCAACTCTGCCCTCCCACGGATCCCTCTTGTTTGTCTGGGGGTTAGTGAACTTTGTAGATTGACAGACAGCCCTAGACTGGAGTCTGGAAACCTCTGCTAAATAACAGAGCAGTAACAATGCAAAGAAACCCAGGACCTACCTTGGCATTCTCATTTTGAAGGTGGAAACCTGAGGCCCAGCAACAGGAGAGCCTTGTGTAGAGGTGCCTGCATATGCACCATTGTGTATTCCCCTTATTCCCCCCCACCATACAGAAAAACAATGTCCAACCAAATCAGATGCTCAACTGTCAAGAATAAAATGGTAAAGATAATAAAAGGAAACTTAGAACATGTTCCTTAGGAAAAGGATGGGAAAGAATTTCTTAGCAAGATGGGCAGGAAATTGGGGAACCTTGAGGGAGAATTTGAATACATTAAAAAAAAACCTATGTAAGTATAAAAAGCAGGTTGGAAGTTGTAAGTCAGAAGATAAATGGGAGAAAACATGTGCTGTGCATAAGTTAAAGGACTAATATACTTAAGAGAGAAAGGAAATGTACACACTGAAAACAAGACAACCCAAAGGAAAACAGACACGGGCTACACACAGGCCCTTTGCAGGAGAGAGAGAAGAGATGCGGTGTGATGCAGCTCTCAGGATGCGGGCAGCGGGCTCTTGTCTTTCCTGTGGGAACACGGACTGCCTCGGCCTTTTGAGGTTTCTGTGGCAACATTAAAGTGCAAGAGAAAACAAAGACAAAAGCTCTACACAAGGTTGTAGAAATGTTTGTAGTTGCAGAAGCCTGGGAGCTCTGTGGGGGGCTAGGTGAGGACATTATTATGCAGATACACTATGAAGGTTACAGAACTTTTAGACAGGTGTGTGGGTCTTCTGGAAGAATGTCCATAAGGGGGGAAATCCAGTTGCTGTATGACATGAATACATTACATTCCAACCCAGAATACCTTCCGATCCTCTCACTCACTATGCATGTGAGGCCCAGGGGACTGCTGCCCCCACCCAGAGAAGAGGGACCAACAGACAGGGAGGAACATTTCTCCCAGATTGTCTGCGTCTGGCCACAGGGAGCATCATTGTTTGCTTTGGACAAAAAATTTTTTTTTTTTATCTTTTTAATTTTATTATGAAAATTTCAAACATGTACAAAAGGAGAGAGAATAGTATGATGAGCTCCTACAAACCTATCACCCAGGTTCAACAACTTTTAACTCATGGCCAGTTATTTACACCTCTACCCACTTCCCCGCATCTCTGGATTCTTTTGAAACAAATCCCAAATAGACATTACATATACTCTCATTGGCAAATATTTCAGCATTTAGCTGTAAAATATAGGGGCTCTTAAAAAACAAAAAGTAACCTCAATACCAGTATCACCTTTATGGTAGAAAGACTTTAAAGTGGCCCCATGATTCCTACCTCCTTGTGTAGGAACCATACCCTTGTATGGTCACCTCCCCTTCAGTGTGACTTGCTTCTAACTATTGAAGCAAACTATCTTTGTCATCAAAGATGATGGGATATATGTGATTACATGTCCATGGTTCATGATTATGTTACATAAGAATGCAGCCCAGTCTTGCTGGAATCTCTTTCTCCCTTGCTTGCTCTGAGAAAGCCAGGTATTATATTGTGAAGCTCTAAAGAGAAATGCAGGTAGCCTCTAGAAGCCAAGGGCACCCTCAAGCCAATAGCCAGAGTCAAAACAAAGCCCTCGGTCCTACAACAACAAGGAACTGAATTCTGCCAACAACCCAATTCTGTGAGCTTGGAAGCAGAGCTTTCCCTCCACTTGAGTGTTCATACAAGACGGAGACCCCAGCCCTACCTAACACCTTGGTTGCTGCCTTGCAAAGGACCCAGCTAAGCGGTGCCTGGACTCCTGATAAACAGAAACTGTGAAATAACAAACGGGTGTTGTTTTAAGCCACCAAGTTTGTGGTTAATTATTACTCAGCAACAGAAAACCATTACAACATTAAAAAAAAATTGGAAACAATTACTTAATATTATTGACTCTCCCGTTAATGTTTCTATCTCCCTGATTGTCTTACAAATGTTTCACAGTATTTTTGTAAGATGCTCTGACTTCAGCCTCAACTGTGTGAGTTGTGAGTCCTGTGCAGGTAACCTGCCGTCTAGCCAGCCCAGCCTTTCTCCCAGATCCGACTTGGCTGGGCCTGCTGATGCTTGTTTCCCCGGGCAACCTTTCCCAGGGCTTCCATTGCTGATCAGCCCTGACTCTCTACTTAGATCAGATTATAGTCAGGCCATTCTATTCCTTCATCGTCAGACATTGCCAAATTCCCCTGAGCTGAGGGGCAGGGGACAAAATCCATCACTCTGGTTGAGAACTACTGCTTTAAGTTGACCTTGTTTGTTTGTTTTTTCTCTGATTTGCTTCTTCTTTCTTTTCTTAACAGCTTAACTCTCATAAGGTAGACTGATTCTTTCCAAGTTCTTTTCAGGGTGGGAATCCTCCTTGCTGTCACTCCCATGCATTCTGCAAATTAGGTGCCCAGCTGGGATTTGAATTCAGATCTGGCCTATAGGTCAGATCTGCTGTTCTGCCATCTGACACTGGTGGTAAACAGCAGTCTGTTGTCTCCTACGTATAAGACACGGTGCTGGAAGCTGGCAGGGTGGAGAGCTGGGGGGCAGGCTGCAAAGGAGATAGAGGGGGAGTCTATAGAGCTCTCAAGGGACTCTAAATGGGGAGACCAGGCTCCTCCTTTCATGCAGAGATAATGAGCACTTGGTGCTGGTCTGTGACTGGGGCATGCATACGGTGCATGCACTGAGCTCTATGGCATAGCCAGAGAGTGTTGAAAGACAGGGCTTAGAGAGACTGGGGCGTGAGCAAAGATTCAGAGATAAATGCACAAGGCACTTCTGGGCTGTCTAGTTTTTACATCTAGAAAGTAGTTGTTAGGTTCTGTGGGGACAGAGAGAGTAATAAAAAATAGTTCTTAAACTAACAGTTCAGTTGAAGAGATGCATGTAAACACAAGGATGGAGAAATAATCCTGGAAACTACTCTTTTTGCCATTTTCTTAAACTGTTAAAATTTGTAGGAAGGACTTGGAGATCATGGCAATTGTGAATCATCTCCAGTGAACAAGAAAGGGTAGAAGTGTGGTTCAAAGTGTGGTCCCAGACAAGCAGCATTTGCTCTACCCGGGAGCTTGTGAGAAAAACAAATTCTCAGGCCCCATTCCAGTCCTGTTGAATCAGAAGCTCTGGAGGTGGGGACAAGAAATATGATTTTTTAACAAGTCCTTCAGAAGATTTGGTGTGTATTTAAGTTTGAGAACCACTGGTATTCAGGTTTCGAAATTTAGCCACTGTTTTCTTCCCTCCCAAGGGACAATTGCCTATGCAGCTCAATAATTTAAAAATGTACATTGCCTCAAAATCTCCCAACCATACCAATATACCTCCTGTTTAGCTCAGTTTTGCTGGAGCTGGGTGGTTTTACTTTTTATTTTTTTAATTTTCTAAATTAGCTACAGTTCTGTTCAGCATAGAAAACTAAACTCAGGTGGGAGCTGTTTAGTAATAAACAGATTAGTTAATTAGCCATGATTTATTAATGATGAATTAATTATACCTGATTGTGCAGTTCTGCTAGCTAAAGGGAGCTTTAAAGGAGTTATTTTATTAATCATCATGATGCTAATTGCAGACACTTACAGAAGGACCACTAATTAAACATGCAACCATATGCAGAACAACTTGGGCTGCTGAGACCTGCAAGAGTAAGAGACACTGATTTTTAGGGGAGTCAAAACAATCTTACTTCAATATTAGGGGGTTGGCTTGGTAATCTTAATCGTTCACTGCAAATTCATATTGTAATCCTTTCCAGCAGAACTTGATCCCTATATCAAAAAGTAGATAGCACTCTGGTAAGATTTCCGTTAAGAGGGAAAAATTGTTCAATCTTGTTTTATGTTTTACACACATGTAAACTGCTATACTGAATGTTTGCTAAACAGAGACCATTGACGGATGGAATGGGATTTACAGCACAGAGTCAAAACCATATACCAGTCCTTTGTACCAGAGCATCTCAGGTGAGTGGGAGGTTGTGAGACCAGGAGAACTCTGTATATGGAATCAGAATAAGAGGATTCACAGCTTTGTGCTGTTGGGGCAGATAAAGAAATGAGACTGCCCAGGTGAAGGAGCATCAGATAAACTCAAGGATAGCTACACAATAGAAAAGTTGTTTTCAATTTTTAGCTCAAGATAAACTAAAGCCATTTATTGCCTTTTTGTTGTTATGAACACTTGTTAGGAATTATGCAGCATCCGAACACCATCCTCCTAGTGCCTTGCATTAGGAAATTCTCATTGTGAGTAGTCAAGCAGGTAGGGCCCAACTTCCACCACAGAGGCCAAGGTGGTCAATATTGCCTCTCCCTGCAAATCAGGGGAGAGCATGCTACTCAGGCCCTGACAAAGCAGAAACAATTTTCTGGGAATTTGGATCCTGAACAAGAAGCAGTACTGTGGAGGTCCTGGAGGCCCTGCTCTGTGCTGTGGCTGCTCTGTGAGCTGTGTGGAGATTCTCACAGTTGGAGAAGCTACTCATAATAATGGCTACTGAATACCTGAGTAATTTTGGTTCAACAGGTAATACATAGGAGCATGTGATCAACGTGATGAGGAGGATGATAGTGATAAAGGTGATGGCAAACCTCAAGCGTGTCCTGATTTTCTTGGCGTCTTCTATCCTCTGCATTGCTCAGTGGGTTAGGACTGAGCATATGACATAACTCTGGCTAATGAGACATGAAGATAAATTTTCAGTTTAGGAAGCCAAATGAGGAAAAGAACTTGGAATGAGGTGAACCAGCATTTGGCATGCACAGGTTTACTTAATCCCCCATTTTTGATATGGTATCCCTCTTTCAGCTGTGCTTGGAGTCTAGGGATCTTCTGTTTTATATTCCCCAAAGAAAAATATCCATTTTTTTCCCCCAGAGTGGGGAGAGGCAATTGCTATATATATATATATGTTATATATTTATTTTAACATGTATACAATGTGTATCTATTATCTAGATCAATACATAGAATATTTCCATCACCTCAGAAGGTTCCCTCACTCCCCTCCTCAGGAAAAACAGAAACAAAAGCCTCTCCATCCCTCACTCTCTAAGGAAATCACTATTTTGAGATTTCTATCACAATAAATTAGTTGCCTTTTGTTGAGTTTTTATAAATGGAATCATACAGTATATACTGTTTGGCTTCATTCATTTAACAGAATGTTTTGGGGACTTATGCCTGCCGGTGAGTCCCTTTTTATTGCTATATAATATTCCATTACATTGTTTTAGTGCCCTCCCCTTGCCTTCTCCACACTATCACCCAACCCCAGCTCTCAGGGTCACTCAGTGCTGTTTGCTCCTGAGCATTCCCAGGCTTCACCTAAAGGAGAGAGGCTCTTTTCTTTCCCCACTGCTGCTGTAGACTTTGATCCTTAGTTCAGCTAAGTCAGTGATCACTTGTTCATGTTTTTAGCTTCCAAAATGGTACTGTTGTTATTCCTCACTATTCTGTTGATTTTTGTAAATTGTACCTTAGAAAAAAAAATCTTTCCCATATGATTTTCAATTCAATTCTGAGGCATGTACCCCAAAGAATTGAAAACAGTGACTCAAACACACAACTTGCACATCAGTTTTCATAGCAGCATTATTTGCAATAACCAAAAAGTAGAAACAACCCAATTGTCCATCAACAGATGAGTGGATAAACCAAGTTGGCATATACATACAGTGGACTATATATCGTTCAGCCATGGAAAAGGAATGAAGTTCTGCCATGTGCCACAACATGGATGGACCTTGAAAACATTATGCTAGTGATATAAGACAGACACAGAGGCCACATATTGCATGATTCCATTTATATTAAATATCTGGAATAGGAGAATTCATACAGAAAGTAGGTTAGAGGTTACTGGGAGCTAGAAAGAGTTGGAAATGGGCTTAACAGTGACAGAGTTTCTGTTGGAGGCTGAGGAAAGAGCTTTGGTGGCTGTCTTAGTCAGCCAGAGCTGCTATAACAAAATGCCATAGACTGAGTGACTTAAAGAACAGGTATTTATTTCTCACAGTTCTGCAGGCTGGGAAGTCCAAGATCAAGGTGTGGACAGATGCGTTCCTCAGGAGAGCTCTCTTCCTGGCTTGCAGAGAGAGCTGCCTTCTTGCTGCGTGCTCACACGGCCTGTCGTCCATGTGTGCACACGGCAGGGGAGAGAGAGAGACTGTCTTCCTCTTCTCCTAAAGGCATCAATCCCATCATGAGGGCCCACTCTCGTGAACTAACCTCACTCTAATTACCTCCCATCCCCAAATACTATCATATTGCAGACAAGGGCTTCAACATCTGAATTGGGGTCAGGAGGGGGACACAAACATTCAGTCCATAACCTTGTGAATGAATTCAATGTCACTAAATTGTACAAGTAAAATGGGTTAAATGGGAAAGTGCCAATGAAGTGCACAGAATAAATATTCTTTAAAAATGGTTAAATGGCAAGTATGTTATAGATATCTTACCACAATGAAATATTTTTAAAGAACCTTTATTGTAATTTTAGTAGGTTTTGGAATTAAGCTTAATTAGATGCCTGTGTTTGATTATTTTATCTGTATCATATTACTATCCTTCTTTTTTCTGTCAAAATAAACAGAAAAATTTGCAGTACAGTACAAAAACATCCTTCCACTGTAAACTGTGCAAGAATTAAGTTGCTAACCTGATGCCCCATTATCCCAAATACTTTAGTATATATTGTGAACAAGGACATTTTCCTAATCATATACAATAAACCATCAAAATCTAACTCGAATACATTACTAGTCATTCATCCTCAAATCTGATTCATGTTTCACCAACAATCCATTATAGCAATATGCCCTTTATAGCCAAAGGATCCAGTCCTAAATCATGTTTGATTCAGTTTTTCATGTCTCTTCAATATCTGACAGTTCCCTTGTTTACCAACTCTCTCTAAAAAACTCCCTCTGCTTTCTTTCTCTCAAGTTCAGTGTTCATTTCCATATCATTGGAACTCAAGAACTTGGTCTTTGGGTGGTCCAGTAACACCTGCACCCTAGGTGGCATATATTGCCCTCTAAATTTTCTTTCAAGGTTTTTTTTTTAATTAAAAAACATTTTTTTAAAATTTTGGTATCATTAATCTACAATTACATGAGCAACACTATGTTTACTAGATTTCCCCACATACCCCATTACAGTCTCTGTCCATCAGCATAGTAAGATGCTATAGAATCACTACTTGTCTTCTCTGTTTTGTACAGCCCTCCCCGTGCCCCCCGCCACATTATGTGTGTTAATCATAATGCCCCTTTTCCCCCCTTGTCCCTCCCTTCCCACCCATCCTCCCCAGTCCCTTTCTTCCAAGGTTTTTAAGTTTTACTTTTTACACTGTTTTCATAATCCATCTGACATTAATATTATTTGTACATAGAGATATTTGTTTTCTTCTGGTAGATTGCCACTTGTGCCAGTATCACTAACTAAATAACCCATCATCCTTTACCACTGACCTGAAATTCCTCTTCTGTTATATATTAAAATTTTCTGTAGATTCTGTGCTTAAATTAAAAAATATATATATTTTTCATTGTGAAATATAAATATGGAAAACATACATACAGTTAAGTAAGTAATTTATAACAAATATCCATCTGACCACCCCCAGATCAAGAAAGAGAAGACTGCCAGCACCTCAGAAGGTCCTATGTTCCCTTTCCTGATTATAAGACTCTCCTTCCTCCTGGAGGTAACCACTGTTTTGATTTTTATGATAACCATTCCCTTGCTTTTCTTTATAATCTTAGTACCTGTGTATATATTACTCCCAAATAAAGTAGTTTGTCTATTTTCAAATGTTACACAAATGAAACTATTCTGTATGTATTCTTTTGTGTCTACTTTGCTCCATAGTATGTTTGTGAAATTCATCTACATTTTTCTGTGTAGGCATAATTTATTCATTTGTATTGCTGTATAACATTCCATTGAAAGAGCATACAGAAATTTATTTATTTGGTTGTTTTCCTGTTTTAGTTATTACCAAAAAAATGCCACTGTGAAGATTCTTCTTTATGCGTCGTAACGTACACATGCAACATTTTCTCTTTGGTATGTACCCACCGGTGAGCTGGGCTGTACACATCTTCAGCTTTCACAGACACCAGCCGACTGGTTTCCAAAGCATCCCTCCTTGATGACAACTCCCGTGTGTCATATCCTCTTGAACCCTTAGTACAGGCAGATTTTTAACATTTTTTTTGCCAATCTGGTGGGTATTTTAAAAACATCTTGTTGGGGTTTTAATTTGTGCATCTTCTTTATTCATGAGGTTGAACATAGTGTATTTATCTGATATTTCTGTTTCATTGTGAAGTGTCTTTTCAAATCCATTGCTCATTTTTCTATTGGATCTTCTCTTTTACTTATTGATCGGCAGCAGTTCTGAGTACATGTCATTTGCCTGTCATAGGTGTTACCAATATCTTCTCCAGGGCTTATCTTTTCAGTCTCTCATGTCTTTTCATAAACAAATAATGTGTCTGAAGTTATCACTTTTTCCTTTATTTTTTATACATTTTGTGTCTTGTTTAAGAATTTTTTTCATATCCTGAAGATATTCTTCTGTATCACCAGTTAAAAAACTTGGTAATTTTCCCTTTCACATTTAGGTCTTAAATTCACCTGGAAGTTATTTTTGTGTATGATATGTACAATTTCATGTTTTACTATGAGGATGACTAGTTGGCTCAGAGCCATTTATTGAAAAGTCCATGCTTTCCCACAATCTGTAGTGCCATGTGCCTCATGTGTTGAGTATATCCATACGTAGTTGGCTGTTTCTGAGCTCTCTATTCTGTTGTATTTACCCTATGTTTTTCCTATACAAATATTACACTTATTATTTTTATTAAACATTTTACTCTTTATTATATAAATTTTGTCACACAATTCCCTCAAAACTATTTATTCTAAATTTATTCTAATTTTATGATTGTTTTGAAATAGTTAATACAAATACTCGCAAATGATTCAAGTAAAGTAAAGGTATATAGAGTCTACATACTAAGTTCCCCTTCCCCCTCGGCTCCCCAGTCTACCATTCCCCTCCTCAGGGGGGCAATCACTGTTACCAGTTCATATTCTGTCCTCCATCCTATGAAAGAACAATTGTATCAGGGTGTGTGTTTGTGGATATATATGTCTTCCTGTACATACATGTCTCACACTAATGCTAGCTTACTAATCACATTATTCTTTATCTTGCTTTTTATAATTTGATGCATATTAAGGCAGTCATTATTATCCTCATAGATGAGGAAAGCAATGCTCAGAAAGGAAATTTACTTGCGTAAGTGCATTCAGCTAGTAAAATGGTTGGATATGGATTCAAAACCAGGCTACATGATTATAAATCTAATGCCCACTCTACACTTCAAAGAATATATTAGAGGGTTCTGATAACTACCCTGTTTAACAACTTACCCCCCAATTTGGAGGTATAGAACAGTCATTTTGTTTTTCATGTACATAATATTTTTTAAAATTAAGATATTGATGTACAATCTTATGAACGTTTCACTTGAATAACATTGTGGTTTCAATCATTCACCCATATTATAAAACAGTCATTTATCATGCTTTCGTATTCTGTGGGTCAGGAATTTGCACAGACATCGTGGAGAAGGCTTGTTCCTATTTCACTTGTTGTTAGCCGGAGGCTCAGAGTCATCAAAGCCTTGTTTACACTTGTTTGGAGCCTGTGTTGGGAACACTCAATAGCTGGGAGTTGGAGCAGTTAGAGTTCCTTGGACATTATCCTTCTTTGTGTAGTCTCTTCACATGATGTTTCTGGCACAGTGGGTTTATGATAGCTGGACTTCCTCCATGTTGGCATGGCTCCCAAGGTCCTCGAGAGAGCAAGATGGAAGCTATATCACCTTTAATGACTATACTAGGGAGTCACACAGCTTTACCTCTCTGACATTCTACTAATTAAGGCATTTAAAAGTTCTGTTCAGGCTCATGAGATAGGAACACAAATCCCACCTCTTGATGGAGGATTGTTAATGTCACATTATAATAAGAATACATGAAGTGGGGTATGTTTGACTGCAGCCATCTTTGGAAAAATACAATCTACCACAGAGTGTTCTGGGAATTTCCCATATTCTTGGGAAACTGGGGATGTGAATGGTTAGCAGGAACAAGGCATACCTTCATTTAAAGGAAGAAAACTTGGTGTAAATCCTGAATCTTTTTTTTTTAATAGATGCAAGATAACTCCAGGCACTGAACCACCATCAACAAATATATGGGTGTGTTTATAGATCATCATCAAAGATTTTTGAAACTGTTCTTACCGCACTGAACCAGAAGATACTTTCAAGGAACCAGAAACATTTAAGTGTCAGCTTCTTAAGAATTTTGTGGGCTCTCAAGCATACTCTGCAAAGTGCATGGACCAAATTGAACCTGTTCTGCATTCAGAAAGTGAAAACAGTGCCCTGTGGCTTAGCTCTTTGTCTTCATTTGTTTAGGCTGCTCTAACAAAAATGACAGAGACTAGGTGGCTTATAAACAACAAATATTTATTTCTCATAGTTCTACAGTCTAGAAGGCCAAGATCAAGGCACTGGTAGATTTGGCGTCTGGTAAGAGCCTCTTTCTTGCTCACAGATGGCAGTCTACTCATTGTGTCCTCACATGGTGGAAGGGGCAAAAGAGATCATTATCACCTCTTTTGTAAGGGCACTAATCCCACTCACAAGGGCTCCACCCTCACGACTTAATCACATCCCCAAAGCCCCACCTCCAAATACTGTCACACCGGGGACTGGATTTCAACATACGAATTTTGGGGAGACACAAACATTCGGTCTATAGAAGCCCTTCTGGGGCACTGCCTTATACACTGTTTTCTGATGATGTCAAATACTGGAGAGGCCAGAGTGGTTTATGATTATGTAAATGCAAGAGCTGGTTGAAGCTATTGCAATACCTTTGGGCCAGGTTATTTTAAGTTACAATGGACAGTTCACGAATTTCATCAACTAACTGGAGGCTCTTTCTAGCTAAAATCATGATTTCAGCATAAAAGAAAAGAAGAGGTAAGTTAAATGTGAACACCTGTTCTTCTAAAATTGCTCTACTGCAGGTACCAGCCCTTGAGAGTTGGCAGATGGTTTTGTGTTTCTAAGCCTGACCTTAGCAGCCCTTCATCAATCTTGCACTGATTGATTCTCAGGAAAGAGGAGGTACTGGCTTCCTGGGATACCCAAGACACCTTTGATTTAGTTACTACCTGAAGACCAATTAATTATCCACACTGGTTTTCTCAAGTTTTCCTAACAGAGCTGGGCACAGCCTGGCTGGGGTGGCTTTTTAATGTGGTTACTACATTTACCCATATTATCAAGTCCCCACCCATACCCCAGTGCAGTCACTGTCCATCAGTGCAACAAGATGCCACAGATACACTATGTACCTTCTCTGTGCTACGTTGTTCTCCCCGTGATCCCCCACACTGAGACAGGGACTGTGGGTGTAGTCAGAGTAGGGTGAGGGCCTCCGGGAAAAGCAGGATGGAATATTCACGGTCAGAACAATGTGACAATGGGCAAAGAAGTCCCTATTGAAACTCTATGTTAAACATTAAGTTCTGGAACCATTCTTCAGTGAGATCAGTTAATATTCTCCAGATGGGGAAGAGTGGCACATGTTCAGTTACGCTAATCATTTGTAGCCATGTGTAATATTCACTTTAACATACTAAAAGGCCCAGGCCTATGTGCTTCTTTCCTCCTTCAGATCTGACGAAGTAATTTTGCAAACTGAGCAATTAACTTAGCATGCAGACCCAGCTGTAGATAACATGGTAAAAGGCAGGACGAATTCCATCTTAAAGATAAGATTGCATTTTAACACCCAGGAAGTTCAAGAGGCAGGATTCTTTAACAAATAGACAATACCTCAGCCCACCTTGGGGGCTGGGTGGGCAGCTTTTTGATGTGCTCCCAGACCCAGGTGCCGGTGTCCTAGAGAGAGATCAAGGCGGGAAATTCCTTACGTTAAGTTAATCTTTAATATTCGGGGACCACTTAACAGGTGCACACCCCAAAGTTTTTTTCCATGTTCTCAAAAAATCCTCAACTGCCTATAAAACTCCTAGACAACGCATCACCATGGACTCTCTTTTCCCCTCCTGGCCTGAGCCAGGAGCTCTGTTCTTTCACTTTATCTCTAAATAAAAGTCTGTACCTTGCTCTCCTACCTTGACTGTTTGTGAAGCTCATTCTTCGGCTTCCTGAACAAGAAACCCAGCATCAACACCATGTGTACTAAACATAATACCCCTCAATCCCCTTCTCCCTCCCTCCCCACCTGCCCTCCCACACTCCTCCCCTTTGGTAACCACTAGTTCATTCTTGGAGTCTCTGAGTCTGCTGCCATTTTGTTCCTTCAGTTTTGCTTCATTGTTATGCTCAGTGAAATAAGCCAGGCGGAGAAAGACAAATGCCAATTGATTTCCCTCATTTGTGGAGTATAACAATGAAGCAGGCACTTATTATTTTTAAAATTTAGGAGGGCTTAATTGTGTTTATTTTTAAGTCAAATAGTAGTATATGGGTTTTTTATGGCATAGAATCAAATCATAAGCAGCTCTCAATTATCCTCTGGATGGGTTATCTGGGGATCTCACTCTTGGCATCCATTCAGCTGTTTCCCCTCTTCGGTTGCTCAACAGGTCGCATTTCTCTTTCCTCAGACTTTGCTTTTCATTCCAAGCAAGGGAAAAAGTGGGAAGAACCAGGGCCAGATGTGTGTTGTTGATGTGACAAGTAATAGAACAGCACTCATTTTTGAGGTTAGGTATCCATGACTCTTCTCCTTTAGGAAGATAACAGAGCTGACATTCGCTGACATTTGCTACTAAGAACTTCCTTCACATGATACAGGTTATATTTTGGTAGTATTAAAAGATAAACTGAGGCACACTGAAAATATTAAGAGTTTATTTGAGCAACAGTCAATTCCAGTCAGACAATGGTGAATAAGAAGTGGTTAGGCGTGCACCATCAACAGGAGCCAGGGGCAAGACTCTGTAGGGAGACTTGGAAGCACAGTAAGTGAAAGAAGAGAGGTGATGCGAACTCAACAGTCCAAGCAGGTTTATTGCTGAACCTGAGAGGGACCCCTCTGTCCTGGCCAGCAGAACAAAGGAAAGAGCGCCTCTAACAGGTCAAGAGGCTTTTTATGGTCAGGGTTTTTGGTAGGCTGTTTGAGGGGAGGGGTCTGGGGAAAGGTGGGCTTGTGGCTTGCTGACGTGTACTCGGGAGAATGCTTAACACATGTAGGTAAGATGACACCTAGGTCGCTCTGTGATGGTGGGTGGGCTTATTCAAAAGGTGGTACTCAGTCCAGATTTTATCAGTAAGGGAATTTTTTGGTTGGCGATAGTTCGAGTGGTTGCATTTTATCTTGGAAAGCCAAGTTGGCTGTTTGTCATTGGTTGTTCCTGGGTTTCGATTTCTTAACCTTGAGGCATTTACAGGCTTAGGTTTTGGTTTGCTTATATACGTGGCTAAGGTATTAGACTAACCTCAGTCTAATGGCCTTCTTGTTTAATTAATTTAACAGTAGTATATGCATTAATTTTTTAATGGAAAATTTAATATGCACAAAAGCATAGCAAATACTGTAGTTACAACTTCCACTCTCCTCTTTTCCAACCCCATATCCATCACACAGCTTCAATGTTTATCGACTCGATCTGTTTTGTTTCATATTTGCCCCCAAACCCAGGTGCTCCGTTCTCTGTGTTTGTATTAACCCGAAACCCGTTTCCTCTGCTGAACATGCCCAGGAGGTGACACTGGGTGCAGAAGACTCTTGCAGGTCTGTGTCTTCCACTCCACCTTGCAGACCAGGCTTGAGAACATCTCGACTGTCACACTCTATTATACTTGATGGGGAAACTCGAGGCGTCCTGGTGGCGGGCAGGACAAAAGGACAGCTGTGCACGGCTGCCCACAAATTAGGGCATCTTTGGAGGCTGTCCTTCAATTCCCAATTAAGTTTTAGGAGAGCTTTAATTATTCCATCAACAGTCCTCATTTAAACAATCACAGGCACTCTGGCTAGTGGGGAAATGACTGACTGACTAGATTTGCATAACCACTTACCTTAATTAGAATGTCAAAAGTTGGTGGCAAAGAGGCCAAGTTGTACTGTGACTTAGTATCATTTTAATTTAGTCCAATCTCCTATTATTACAACTGCCTTTCTCTTTGCATTTCAGGTCCTCTTTCTTTCTAAGCACTTTGTAGCAAAAACAGAATGGAAGACAGACTAACAAATAATTTGGTTGTCGGCTGAGCTCCTGAAAAAAAGTTTTTCCTTAATCGAAACTGTGATTTTAGTTTCTATCTAAACTTATAATTGCATGAACATTTAGATTTAGCATGGGTAATTTAGGCAGGCACTTGGCTTTGAACCAGAAGCTGGCTCTTTCCGTGTGCACGTGTGTGTGTGTGTGTGCTAGTGCATGTGCGGATAAGGTGGTAGAATCATCTTCAGGTTGTCGCATGAGAACAAAAGTCACTTTTATGCCAGTGTTTTAACACCGGGATTGGTGTGTAATAATGATTGTAAGATAGATTCTTTAATAGACACATTGTTTTTAGTAATGTGTACAGCTTCTCTGACAAACGTTTTGGACTATGAGATTTGAACACTGCAAAGTGGACTGAGAGTAAACTGAACTCCGGGTCTCAGGCATAGAACCACCCTGACCCTTTAGAGACTGTTTAGGCACGCATCCGTGATTTCTGGGTCTGGCTGGTGAGCTACTTACCCAGGTTTTAGTTAAATCAGACATCCTGTTTTTCTGCCCTCATTCCCTTTTAGCAGCAGGAGGCCACCTATTTAATTAGTTGGGGTGAGAGCGTCTGTATCTCCTGGGGGCAGCTTTAGCCCCAGAGTTGGATAAGAGGGTGACTCCAACTCTGGGGGTGTGGCTGGCCTCTCCCCTGCAACATATGGGGAACCTGCCGCGCCTTCAGACAAGTTCCAGCAAAAACCATTAGTGGAGAGGCCTCCTTCCCTGCTGGGAACACACCCTGCAAAGCCAAGGGCGGGTTGGCGTCACTAGTAGAGGTCAAGCAGTTCTTAGACCAAATAGCATCTGACAAACTATGCCAGTTGGAAATCATGTTCCTCCCTGGGTGGGTTTAATTTTATGGTTGTTTGCACAAACTCCCTAATGGGCAGGGCAGAGTTTAGAGCATCCTCCCAGGATTGTTCCAATGGAGTTTAATGTCTTTGCAGCCCATCTGTGAGTTGATTGAATCGTCTGTTTACTAGAGGCTAGGGTTGGAGCTTGGCCATTCAGCTAAATGGGATTATGGTAATGTGGGGTTAGCACACTGTTTATCCAAAGGCCGGGAGGTTTGACCACAAATACAATGCATATAAGTCCTTAAACCCTTACCATACCGTCTCTAGCCTGAAACAGACATGTGGGTTCCTCTGCATGTGGTAGTATTGAATCATTATATTCAATGTTCTGACTCCATGTTAAGCAGGCCAGATTTCTTTGGACATAAGATTTTATGGTGTTTAAGAGGTTATATTCTTCAGTCAGACAAATTCAGTTTCTACCATTTGCTGCCAGAAGGACATTGGAGCAAGTTTCTTAACCTCTCTGGGCTTCAGTTTCCTCATCTATAAAATGGGGATAATAATTGTACCTACCTCACTGAGATGCTGAGAGGATGAAATAAGATAATATGCTGAAAGAGTGTAGTACAGTGCCTGGTAAATTAATGTCCTTTTAATGAGTCTCAGGTATTAAAAATGACAGTAAATGACAATTTCAGCCACATATGAACAAGACAGGTGTGTTTACATAGGCAGGAACAGGAAATCTGAATGAACAGTGGTGGTTTTAAAATCTGGAATTTTAACATTTTACCAGTGAACTCCTTAGTCTTAATGATGTATGGGAATTCTTTAATTGCACATTTTCCCCTTGTTCTGACTTATTAATCTTTCTTATTTTTTAACAAAGAGGTGAAGATCCAGGCATACTACTACATTTTGATTTACCTTGTAATGAACGTGTTGTTGCTTTAGAAGCCGTGCACGCTCCCATCAGAACCAGAGCTCCAGGGAACCCTGCAGTAGTCACAGCGATGGCTCTGTCCTGTTTCTCAGGGGGATCACTCCCCGGAGAGAGCTGCATAATCAAGATCAAGTGATAACTCATACAGGAGAAACACTTCTGTGCAGCAGGGAATAGGGTTGCGTTCTTCAGGGCCAGATGCTTAGATGGATTGGGGACCCACCTGGCCATAGGTGCCTCAAGTCTTGTCTTCTCCATCGGAAGCAGTTTCCTTGCAATGGATGTGGAGGAAACCTGGGTGAGGAGGATGGGGGAGGAAGAGCCAGTTCT